AATGATTTCTTCACTCCCTCACCCCTCTCCCATCTCTGAGTCACCTTCCCCTCCAGTCTGGAATAATATTTTCTCGTCCCTCAAGTCAAATCCTCACTTAAGCCTCACATATCCCAAACTGTTGTCTAGGCGTAGAGACCCCCAAGCCCAAAAGCTTTGGAAGCTATCGCTATGGGACTCCTTTCATTCCTGCCTTCCACCCTGTCACTCTCACCCTGGAGGCAGGCAGCCGGCAAACAGCAGAGGCTTGAAAGGAGAGGTGAAGCTATAAAATGCAGAAAGTGCAGGATTTTCAAAAACATGGCCCCACTGTGATAGAAAAAAGTGGATTTTCTCCGACAGAAAATATAGTTCATGTTCTATGCTTAGAAAATTGATCTGCGGCACAAGTGGTCCCTCTCTCAGCCTCAAAAGATAGTTTTTTTTTAAAGCAATACGAGAATTTGCTGCTGAGAACTTAAGATCCTAGGAGGAAAATACTATTAGAGCAGGGAGCACAATTCTGGCTGCACATTAGAATCCCCTGGGAGAACTTTAAAAAAATGCCAAAAATAGAATGCCAGGACCCCAACCTCAGAGACTGTGATTTAATTGGCCTGGGGTGGGGTCTCAAGCAAAGATATTTAAAAAAAAGTGTTTTTTTTAGAGATGACGTCTCCCTTTGTCACTCAGGCTGGAGTGCAGGGCTGCAATCGTAGCTCACAGCAGCCGCAAACTCCTGGGCTCAAGCAGACCTCCTGCCTCAGCATCTCAAGTAGCTGAGACTACAGGTACCACACCTGGCTGATTTTTCTTGGGAGTCTCACTATGTTGCCCAGGCTGGTCTTGAACTTCTAGCCTCAAGCGATCTACACCCCCTCTTTAGCCTCCCAGAGTGCTAGGATTATAGGCGTGAGCCATTGCACCGGCCTGGATTTTTTCTTTTTTTCTTTTTTCTGACTAGTCAAGTGCATGGATTTTTTATTGTTGCAATTTATTCTCCCTTGATTTTTCATTTATTGTGCGCATTGAAACACCTGTGGGGAAAATCTGTGGTCCCCTTTGGGCAAATCCTGGAGGGGCAGCATGGAGTCAAACACAAGCCTTTTTTGCTTTTTTTTTTTTTTTCCTGCTGAGAAACTTTATTCTTTCAACATTTCCACTTACATGACAGGGTGTCCTGCCTTAAGAATGAATAAAAAATAAATAAATAAATAAAGTGGTGGTTTCTCTGTCTTCCTGTCTCCCACAGAATAAGACTGTATTAATGGTACACTCAGCTTCATTACCTTCCTCCCTACTATACACGAACACAATTTTTTGGTTTTTCCAAAAGCTACTTAGGATCTTTAAATATTAATTAGGCCCCACTCTTCTGCTATGGACCACATAAATATCACCTCCCTTTCCTGCCCTGTGTATCCAGGCCACAGAGATTAGGTTACTAGTCCAAGGCCATGAAGCAAGTCTATCGGAATTCAGTTGGGCTAGGCCATTCCCACGATAAGCCTGAGAACTTGTTCTCCAGTGGCATTTCCTGACTGGCTCTGCATGTGTGTGCTGACTAGCATGTGTTCACTCATTCATTCATCAAACATTTACGAACACCTGCTATGTGCTAGTGGCTAGAGACTCAGGGAAGAATTGGACCCACTCTCTTTGGTGAAGGAGCTCAGTGTGTGAGAGGGCTGAATTATAAATAAATAGGTTCTGTGATAAGACAGTCCACAAAGCAGAAAGGGAGGCCAGGGGAGGATTTCTTAGAGGAGGAGGGACTCGAACAGAACCTTTACAGATTAGAGCAAGAGGGAAGGGTATTCTAGATGAAGGAGCTTGGACAGCAGGCCCAGAGTGTTGGCGGGTGGGCAGGTGTGTGGCCCCAAGTGTAGTCATCTGGCAGTCTGGCCCAGGTGGTGCGGGGCTTTCCATCCCTTGCCAAGGGGTTCCATTTCCTTCTGTAGGCCTAGCAAGTTTGCCTGCCCAAGGGACTCTGGAACTTCAAACAGAAACTTAATTATTTGTTGTATTAAATTCCTTCCCCTAGCACTTGTAGGCGTGAACCCTTTGAAAGGTGAATAGTTTAAGACTGAGATTCTTACCTTTACATGGGAAGCATGGACGGTCTAAAAATGAGATTGAGCACCCAGGGAATAGCCTCCCCTCTGCCTCTGCTCAGAGCCAGGCCTTGCTGGAGAGGGTATGGCTGGGTCTCACTGGAGGACAGAGAAGTTGCTATGGTGTCATGCCTGTGAAACCTGCTGGGAATCTGACCTCTGGGGTTCTGGGGGAAGCTGTTCATGGGGGGTAGTGTCTTGGTGGAGTCCCTCCACTAATGAAACAACCTGGGGTGGGGGCACAGTGCTGGGAGGAGCTGCCGGCTGCTGTAGGGAAACCTGGTCCTTCCTGTATTCTGCATCACTACTTGGATGTCATTTATGTCGTAGCATTTGTTTGAATATTTTTGCATCATGTAGTTCATGTACATAAAATCTGGAGAGAAAGAGATGATTTTTCTCTACTCCTCCACCTGAAAATTTCTCTTCTGGCGAGTTGCTGCAGTTGGTCAAAAACAAACAAACAAAATCCAACTTTCTACAGGCTCAATAACCATAGTCAAGGGAGCAAGACTTACACTGGATAAACATAAAGGAAAAGATGCTCTACGAAATTTCAGAATCTTTGCCTGGAAGTGTCTGTCTGAGGTTGAGGCTATGGGGCTTGAACGTTCATCTTGACAATAGCAGCATTGAAAGCAGTTTCTCTGATAACTGACCTCCTCTGCCTCTATCTTCGCCCCCCTGCTCCCCTTATTTTCGTTATCAGCAGAATGTCTGTCCCGAAGAGGGGGGCAATTGCTGATGAAATTGTCTCGACAGTTAAATATTTACTGAGTGCATACGCTCTGCAGGTCCTTGTAAGGGTCTACGTGAGGAGTGGTTTAGGGATATTGGGCACTGCCCGCTCCTTCAGGAATCCTCACCCTTTGGCTGCCATCAAAGACTCCCCTGGTTCTTCCCAACAGCTCTCCAGGGCGCTGCTCTTTCTCCTTGGGTTGACGCCCTATGCTTCCTCTGCCCTAAGTGAGGGCACTTCACTCTGCTTTCTGGCACTTGGTCAAGCCCTCACTCTCCTGTCACCCTGCACCTGGATGTTGCCCAGATATGACCCTCCACTTCCCAGCAGCCCTCGGGGGTTTTCCTACCCAAAAGCTCCACCATTACCTCACCCTCCACAGAACCTTCAGCAGCTCTCATAACAAACGTTCTCTTTCCCCATTGTCATTGTCCCTATTTCCGGTGCTCCGAGCCACCCACCCCGGAAACAGCTTCGTCCCTGCCATTTCCACTCCCTCGCTGCACACATCTGGTCATCAAGTCTTAGGAGCCTTCTTTGGAAATTTCTCTCTTTCCTGTCCCTCCCTACTACCACCCCCCTTTGTTACGCTGCTGGTTCTTAGGCTTCCGGTTTCTGCCACCCCACGTTTGCAGGGCAGTCTAGGAGTTCTCTGTTGAATGCAGGTTCCATTCCAACCCTTTTGAGGTTCCCGGTACTGTGCGGTTGACTTGAGCCGCCTCATTTTGCTATTTGAAGTCTTTTCCACCATCGGGCCCCATCCTGCTTTCTGATATGCCTCCTCCGGCCTTCTAGCACGGGCGCCATGGCCCAGGCCCCCTGCTCAGGAATGCTGGTCCACCCTCTGCTTGTGTCTTCCTCAGCTCAACTGCCCCTGGCCCCATTATCTCTAGAATAGCTCAATCCTGCTTCCTCCAGAAAGACTCCCTGGGCCATGCTGCCTCCTTTGGATTTCTGCCTAGCATCTTTTATTTTTATTTACTGTCAATGAATCGCTATTACTTTTTGAAGTCCTTTTATACTGTTATTTTGAATTATTGAATTTTCAAGTGTCTATTTCATTTCTTATGTCAGCAAACATTTACTTATTAAGTACGGGTTGTGTTGCATTTTCATATGTTTTCTCAGGGAATTGTCACAACCTAGTGGAGTATCCTGCTCCTTATTTTACAGATGAGGAAACTGAGGCTCAGAAATGATAATGTTTTTGCCCAAGTTCTCATAGCTAGTGAGCAGCATGTCGCAGTTTCCCCTGGGAGGGGCCTGAACTAGACTAGAACCTGAAAACTGGCTTCTAATCCCCAGTCCTGGTGCTATCAGCCCTGGAACCTTAGGCAAGTCACTTTTCTGCCTCTCTGACAGACATTTACATTGTAAATAGCGACTACAATCTTTTTTTTTTTTTTTCAGAAACAGGGTCTTACTATGTTGCCCAGGCTGGTCTCGAACTTCTGCGCTCAAGCGATCCTCCTGCCTCAGCCTCCTGAGTGGCTGGGACTTACAGGCGCAGGCCACCATACCAGGCGCTGCGACTGTAATCTTATACCACCCCACCAGTGTCTAGGCATAGTAGGTGCTCAATAAATACATGTAGGTTTGATGCAGTAGAAGAAAAGAACTACACCTTAAGTTTCTGACTAGTTGGGGAGAAAAAGGCTGCACAGAAGGGTAAGGGGGAAACTGAGTTCAGGGCAGTGGGGGGCGCGCAATAGGAAGGCTTCCCGCAGACGGGGAATTTGGAAAGGCCCAGGCTGGGACAAGGAAAATACCCGGTGATGGCGGAGGGGAGGTGGGAGGACATTCCAGTCTGGGGAGGAGGAGGACAAAGCGCTGCTGGACAGGAGTGTGAGGCTTGAGGTGGGGTGCAGAGGAGGTGCTGGCGGGGGGCAGAGGGAGGGCGCGCCGGGGATCCGAGACCGAGTCCGGGCGGAGTCTGGGTGCCGGGGGAAATCTGTCCCGCGGGGCCAGGCTGGGGGGCGACGGGAGGGTCGGGCCGCCCGGGAGGGGGCGTCTGGCGCGGGCTCACGGGGCCAGGCGCACGGCCCGCGGCAGCTCGGGCGGGTCTGGGCCCCTCCCGGCCCCTGCCCCTCCTCCGGGAGGGCGGGTGGCGGCTGCGGGGCGGGGCGGGGCGCGGGCTCGCCCGGCCTCCTGGCGGCGGCGCGGCCCCTGCACTCCGGCCGGGCTCTGCTGGCTGCGGCGGGAGCGGGAGCCCGAGGTGGCAGCGGCGGTGAGTGAGCTCGGAGCGAGAGCGGGCGGGTGTGCGAGGGGGGCCGGACCCGGGGACCGAGGTGCCCCCCAGGGCGGCGGGACCCCGAGGGGCTCGGGCTCGGCCAAGTGCGCTGCGCTCAGCCCGCGCGTCCGCCCTCGGAGCGGGCGCGGCTCCGGCCGCCAGGGGCGCGGGTCCTGGGGCTGGAAGGTGCGCTCCTGGCCCCCGAGCCGCGCCCTGCCCCGAGACTTGCGGGACCGGTGGCGACTCCTGGGGACTCGCGTCGGGGCAGGCAGGGAGGGAGGAGGACCCAGGACCTTCCTTTAGTGAAGAGGGGTTGGCTACCTTCGCACCCCTACTTGGACCCTCGGGCTTGAGCGACAGCTGGCAGCGACCCACGCGGAGCACCGCAGTCCCTGTCCTATCTCGTACTTAATTCTTCGGCTTGCTCATCCAGCCCGTCCCATGAAAAGAAAGGGGCTTGTGGCCTCCTCTCTGTCCCTGGCCATCTCCACCACCAGGCAGGTCATCCCTGAAAGCCCCTGCCTCACTGAGAGCACGTATCCTAGCTTTCCGAGGGACTTTTCCAAGTTGCATCACTGTTTGGCCTCTAGACAGGTAGCTTGGCTGTCATGTTGGAGTTAGTTACATAGGATTTTAGAAACTTTGTGCTATGTGTGTCCCCCAAGGAAGCAGTACCCTTCGAACGCTGCTTGTGCTGCTCAAAGCACTCTGGAAATTCTTTTGGGGACGTTAGTTCTCAAGCTTGGCTGCACATCTGGAGAGTTTTTAAAAATACTGGTGCCTGTGTTCCACCTCCGGAGATCCAGATTCGGTTGGTGTGGGTTGCCGCCTGGATACTGGAATTTTTAAAAGCCCCCCAGGTGATTTTAATGTGCAAACAAGTTAGAGAACCTCTGCTTTAGGGATTGCTCCCACCGGCCGCTTTTTGAACCACTAAAGATCAATCCCGATATAGAACCCATGTCAGGCACTCTTGAGTCTTCTATGATCCACCTCTCCACCTGGACACCTTGTTGGTTGGTGCTTTCCAGCCTTAGACTGCAGATGGTGCCTTTTTGAAGTTCCCTTTGTTTCTACCTCTCTGTTTATAGTAAATATTGCCAGGCACTTTCTGCCAAGGAGTTGGGAGTGTAGGTATTAGGATCAGGGAGTCCTTGTGAGGGTCAAGGTTATAAGACAGGGTTGTCCTATTCAGGGAAAACCAAGTGATACTTTGACTCGTCATATTTGGAAAGGATTTCAGATTAAAAGGAGGACAAATACTTTAGGAATTGGTTAGCTCTTGGATTACCCACTCCCCCATTCAGAGATAATGGTTTTGCCTAAATGTGGGGAATTTTCCTTCAAGAAGCAAAGTTAACAAGATCCTTAAGGTTTTGTGGTTGATATTTGTGTTAATGTGTGTGCATTTGTTAATAGGTTAAATTCTTGATGTGTGATCAAGCCCTGCAGATGTAACACAGTGTATATTTCTTGTTGATAGAATAATATCTGAGTTAGGGAATTAGTGCCTTACAATAGAATGGCACATCTGAGATGACACCTCAGACTCTGTCAAATGATCTTAAAAATGATGGGGAAATGGGACTAAGGAAACTTTGAACTTACGTGTATATTGGCTGAATTAGATCATATATATTTTATTAAGAAAGTTTGTTTTCAGTGTCTTTGTTATTAACATGATAGTCTCCGGGGAGCTTGGTTAATTTACTGTTGCACCCCAAGTATGATGTTTGTATTAGATTCCCACCTGGATGTTGCTACCTGGCCACAAATCAGTGGATTTAATTTTTTTCTTAGGTGCTGGCCCTCTGTATTGTATTTTTATCAGCAGTGGGATGACATACTTTCATGAATGCCCTCCAGAGGTGAAGGAACGTTTGTGCTCATTTCTAGCTCCTGAGTCAAAAGAACGTTCATTTAGAAAAATAAAATAATTATATAATTTTGCCCACTTCATTTTTCTCTTTTCTCTACCTTCCACCACCATGCTTTGCTCCTATTGCTGTATTCACTTGCTGGAAGTGTGCCCACTCTGGGAGACGTCTTAATTGTCTTGGCTCTGGCTGGAGAATGGAGGTTATATGGAGTGCATGGTCTCACAGGGTGGCTCCTGACCCAAATCCTCACCCTTTTGGGAACAAGACCATATGGATATGGAAACTGTTTTACTACTTTTTTTTTGGACCATGCCAACAAAATAAAGCCATATTCTTGAATAGTTTGTTAACTTGAAAATCTTGTCTCAATTTTGGGGAAAAATGTTTGAGGCTGCTGTTGAACTCTTGGTGTCTGAAAAGTTGCACCTGAACAGCAGTAGTTACACTGGGAATATAATATTAATAATACATTCTGGATCCTCCCTCCCCCCCGCAAAAAAAGGAAAAGAAAAAGTATATGTGAATGTGGACCTAAACAGATTTATTGAAATTTCTCACTTTGCAGTAGCAGCTCTAATATCCTAAAGTGATTAGAAGAAAGTTAAGAAAAATATGCAGAGTTAGTGTGGGGGTTCTTCATTTAGGGAAAGGGTGTACAGCATCCAGAAGAGACCTTTGATTTGTGTTAAGAATTGACTGCCCTATTGGCTTCCCTTTTTTTTTTTTTTTAGAGTTAATTTGCTGTACTGATGGGGTGAGGGAGGTGAGAGAAATTCAGTGGCCACTTTTCCCCCGAAACCCATTTATCTAGGAGGTGCCATTGATGTTTTTAAAAAAGCCAACCGATTTTGTGCTTTTCCTTTCTTTTGCTCCTCTGTTCCTGGCACTTCAGGGCAGTGAAATGGCTGAGAAGTTGGCACCGGAGCAGGAAAACAAAGTTCAAGGGGAATTGAAAATTGGGTAACTTTCCCTGGATGACCAAGTGCTTGCTTTATTCTGGCATGTGTGACATTGCTCTTATCAAGAAACAAATTATAACATGAAAACCCTAAAAATGGAAAAGACAAAAAAAGGGAGAGGGACTTGATGGGGGTAGCTCCAGGGCTGACTGGCCTTCATGGAGGAGGGAAAGCTTGCTGGAGTTTTCTGTCAAACATTGCAGGTCCAAACCCCTTTCCCTCACCACCCTCCTCCACCTCCGCAACCAGTAGCCTTGGGAGAGAGAGTACTTCACATTCAATTCACACTGAGGGTGTTTCTCCCCCCCATCATTTACTCATTGAACAAATACGAATGAAGCCACTGCGACTGGCAAAGCTCCGTGTTACCCACCGAGTTGCTGAGGACACAGTCCCTGAGTAAGGAGCCTGCACTCGGGTGGGGATGGAAATTGTGGGTGGCAGTAAGTTAGGAACTTCTATAATCGAGATAAAAGCAGAGACCGTGGGGTGCCGTGGGACACCTGGCTAGCCTCACCTGGGTAGTTATCTCAATTCATTGGCACAGTAGCCACAAGAAACACTTTACTTGGGTTTAAATTAGAGCGTATTAAGTCCTTACATCAACTTTTAAATGGCTGATTTCGGATACATTTCTTACGGGGAGAGGGAAGGGCACAGGTATCCATCCTGCAGAGGGCAGATTCTGGCAGATGCGTTCTGCTTTAGCAGCCTGGAGAACAGGGACCTTTCCTCTGGGTGGGAAGCTTGCGGACAATGTGGCTGGATCCATTTTTGGCATGTTGGTAACTGGCAAAGTAAGCTTAGTTGTGGCTGCCTCTGCAACAGAGCTGGTAAGAGAGTACAAAGCACCTGTGAAAGCAACAGCCATGGGACTTTTTAGAGCAAGTGGTTTGGTTTGTGTCTGTGACTCCAGCCAGTGGGCAGACATTCGTGCTTCATCATACATTGTCACTTTAGCTCTGGTTTCCTTGCACAGGTTGAAAACTGGACTTCACTCTGTTTTTCCTTTGGGAAGGTGGTTTCCAAATAGCTGACCCATAGGGCTAATAACCCCGCAGTTATAAGAATAGTTACGATTTGTCTGTTGACTGCCTTCCCAGTGCCAGGTAGCAGGCTCAGCGCTTCTCTTCCATTGCTCTGAACCTTACATTCCTGAGAGGAGGTGAGGAAACTGAGGCCCAAAGAGGCGCTGGATCCCGCAGAGGCTCACAGTGCTGGAAAGAGACAGAGTTTGAGGTTCGACAGCGTTCTGGTCTGTCTGAACACAAAACTAAGTTCCTTCCACTCTTTCTTGCGCCTCTTAAGCAGAGCTGATTAGGAAATTGTGTTCTCAGTGCTTTGTTTATTTTTTTTTAACATCAAGGTCTCCTTAGATCTGGGTTGATTTATTGTTTTCCTCTACCAGATGAGGTGTAATAGTAGACTAAAAACCATTGCAGCCATGTGATCCCAAGGGGAATTTTGTGGAATCCTACTTTTCTAGGTGTTTTAAAGGAGAGGGCAGATCAGGCTGTTCAGAAAGGCTCTGGACGGGTCCCATATCCTAGGTTAGAGATATGTTATCTCCACATTTCTTCATGTTCTGCAAACTTCTGAGTTTCTGTAGATAATTGGTTGTTGGGTAAGAGATTAAAAACAAAATTCAGTGTTGCACATTCTGGGGTAAAATGAAGCTGTGCACATCCAATTCCTGTTTGTGTGGTACTTATGGCAAAAACAAAACTTTGCTGCATAGTAATTACCTCGAGCTTGCAAAATTACAGGTAGTAGGGGCTTAAGGCCGTATGGAGCTATCATTAGTGACGACGAGTTTCACACAGTGAATGAGTGTTCATTACTACGGTAGGCTATGGCCTATTTCAACCCGGCAAGGATCAGCTAGGGCTATTTCCAGGGACTTAGTGGAGGGTCGTCATGGAGTTAGAGTGTTTGGGATTAGAGCACAAGGTATTTGTTATGAACATGAAATATTTCTGCCAGCCTGGCCGGAAGCCTCTTTGTTGACAGGGTGGAGTTTATTCCCTGCTGCCCAATCACAGGGATTTTTGCTTGCCTTAGGTAGAGTATGTAATGGTTTAGGTCACTGCTTTGTAGTTTTTTTAGGTGTATAAAGCCTCTTTATTATTAAAATATCTTTCACTGTTACTTATCTCTT